CCAAGTTCCCTGGTCTCTGGAAGTACTTGAATCACAATGCAAAATACACAATTTGCCTGTGTGACCTTTATTTCCATTTACAGCTTGAGACAGGAAAACTCTACAGATTCTCAGAGAGTAAGGTCCATTTGCTATAGCTGCTACCACAAACCAAATAGACTCTATTCTAACTACCTCACAGAGCACCAGGGAACACGATTACCAAGAGATATCATAATGCAACAGAAAAAGTGGAGTTTTGAAGGAAAGAGCTTATCAGTATTATTTGCTCCTAAGTAAGTGCCAGTTTTGTTTCCTTTAAGTTTTCAGAGCATTTTCTATTTTTTAAGAATACAGATCTTTCTAGTAACCTAGCATTGTGTGTGTGTGTATGTGTGTGTATCCGTGCATGCATGTGTGTGCACAAACCTACCAACCACTGAGCTATGTTCCTAGTCATCTCCCTTATTTTCTTTTCAAAGGGTTTCCAAAGTATAGCATCTCCTAGGATTTTGAAGTGGACTTGGTAAGCAGCAGTCTTGTACCCCTATTTTAAAAAGGAGAAGACAGAAATGGAACCAAAGTAAATAACTGACCTGGCATTTCAAATGGAGAGAGAAGTGGAGTTACAACCTGAGCCCTTTGCCTTTTCCATGGCAGGAAAATACTCTTTGGTAACAAATCATGTTCTAAACAGATTCAACACCCTCTAACTGGACAGGGAAGAAGAAAAACTGTGCTTCCCTATTTCTTTCACTACAGAAAGCTGCAAGTTAATGGTTTCCAAGTACTTCCGTCGTTTAACATACAGGAATGCATCCTTTATAAGACAACTTATGTACACGATAATCCAAAAATCTCTTCTCTGTGTGTCACTCATCTCAGTTTAACTATATACGAGCGCTGGAGCAATAGTAAGTAGGGTGCTCGCCATATGGTCACCCCATGCACCACCAGGAATGATTACTGAGAGCAGAGCCAAGAGAAACCTCTGAGCATTGCTGAATGTGCCTCCCCCAAAAAGCAAAAAACAAAAGATTTATCTACACAATCTAAAATGAAGTAGAATTTCCTGGCCTATTTAAGGAAGAGAGGAAAGGTGCTGGCTGTTAGTCCCTTTAAGTAGCACTGCAGCAATGTCCTCCCGTTGTTCACCAATTTTGCTCCAGCGGGCACCAGTAACATCTCTATTGTGGGATTTGTTACTATTTTTGGTGTATCAAATATGTCATGGGGAGCTTGCTAGGCTCTGCCATGCGGGCGGGATACTCTCGGGAGCTTGCCAAGCTCTCCAAGAGGGACTCAGGAATCGAACAGAACAGGGTTGGCCTCGTGCAAGGCAAACGCCCTACCCACTGTGCTATTGCTCCAGCCCCCGAGGAGGATCTCAGGGGCTGAGGGGAGAGCGCCCCCGAGAGGAACTTTGAGGGGAGCTCACCGCCACCCCCCACCCCACACCGCTCATTGCAAACACACGGAACATGCCACGGAGGGGGACACAGCCTCCCCAGGGCCATCCCCATCTTGGGTTAAAGGGATTTTTGCCAATGGCTCTAGCCCAGCATGCTTCACGCATCATGGAGGCAAATGCCCCTGGGGGTGGGGGGGCATTGCTGTGGGTCAGTGCCAGAGCTTGTCATGTAGGATCCACCGAAGGCCCCCAAAACCCCCGAACACCATCTTGGGGGCTGGGGGCTAGAGGTGGGGGGTTGGTGGTGTTAGCGGGAGAGTCATCACGGAATTCGGAGTTTTTCACGCTTTTGATTCCGTGTCTCAGCAGTCACAGGACCTGGAAATCTTTTCCCGCCCTCGTGACTCAGGTGTCCTTCCAGAAATGAGGGACTCAAGTGCCCTGAGGCAAGGGTGGCCCAGAAACAGCCCCCCAGGTGGAGGGTGTTACAGCTTGTGAAAGTGCCAGCCCACGCAGCCGGTGGCACCTGCCCACGGCTGAGGCTGCTGCGCCCAGGCAGGTTGCTCCTGACTTCCGGCTCAAGAGGAAAGTGAAGGTCCCCAGGCCTCAGGGACACGTGGCGGGGTGACCACAGTTCAGGAATAGCCGCGATGGAGGGAAAGGAAGGAGATGCAGTGGGGCGTAATGAACAGTTTGTGGGCGATGCTGACCTTGAGCGACAGAAATTTTCAGATCTGAAACTCAACGGACCCCAGGATCACAGTCACATTCTGTATAGCACTATTCCCAGGATGCAGGAACCAGGGCAAATTGTGGAAACCTACACAGAGGAGGACCCCAAGGGAGCCATGCCTGTGGTGTCTGTGGAGACCTCGGATGATGGGACCACTCAGCGCACAGAGACCACAGTCAAGAAAGTAGTGAAGACTGTGACAACAAGAACAGTACAGCCAGGCCCTGTGGGACCAGATGGGCTGCCTTTGGATGCCTCATCAGTTTCTAACTATATCCAGACTCTGGGTTGTTACTTCCGCAAGAATGGCAATGGGGGACCTGTTCCCTATGTAGGGCAAGCAGGCACAACTACCCTTCCTAGGAACTTCCACTACCCCCCTGATGGATATGGCCACCACTATGAAGATGGTTATCCGGGGAGCAGTGACAACTATGGCAGCCTGTCCCGGGCAATCCGAATTGAGGAGCGGTACAGGTACAGGCCCAGCATGAAAGATTATCGGGAACCTAGTAGACAGGATGTCTATGGGCACCAACCCCAGGTTCAGGTGGGTGGGTGAAAGCAGCGTGGATCTGCATCGCTTTCATCCAGAGCTTTACGGACTAGAGGATGACCAGCGTAGCATGGGCTTTGATGATCTGGATTATGGCATGATGTCTGATTACGGAACTGCTCATCAGACGGGGACATCCTCTGACCCTCGCTGATGACTCAGGAGCTATGAAAACATGATTGGTGAAGAGGTGCCCCCAGACCAACACTACTGGACTCCTCTGGCCCGGCATGAACGTGGAAGTTTAGCAAGCTTGGATAGCCTGCACAAAGTAGGGCCCCCACCCCCCAACTGGAGATAGCCAGAGCTACCAGAGGTGATAGCCATGCTACGATTCCGCTTAGATGCTGTCAAGTCCAATGCAGCTGCATACTTGCAACATTTGTGCTATCGTGATGACAAGGTGAAGACCGATGTTCAGCAGCTCAGGGGCATTCCAGTATTGGTGGGCTTGCTAGACCACCCCAAAAAGGAAGTGTACCTCGGAGTCTGTGGAGCTCTCAGAATATCTCTTTTGGGTGTGACCAGGATAACAAGACTGCCATAAAAAACTGTGGTGGTGTTCCTGGCCTTGTGAGATTGCTGTGAAAGGTTCTCACAGAAGTCATTACTGGAACCCTGTGGAATCTCTCATCCCCTTTAAGTGGACCTGACAAAAAATTGATCAGGTTTTATTTGTTTTTCGGTTTTGGTTTTGTTTTGGGGCCACACCTGGCTATGCTCAGGGTCACTCTTGGCTCTGCATTCAGAAATTATTCCTGGTGGCTTAGGAGAACATACAGGATTCTGAGGATTGAATGTGGGTCTGCCCTGGGTCAGCTATGTGAAGGCAAGGGCCCTTCTCATTGTTCTAACCCTCCAGTCCCTAAAAAATCAGGTTTTGACAAAAGGTTACATTTCAATACCTAACCAAGACAACAGTCAAAAGTGAGAAAGTGGGGTAAAGGATGTGGTGCAGAGCTAATGCTCAGGCTTCTCAATCAAGAGGCTAAATTAATCCCTGAGCACATTTTCGAGCTACCCTGGAGCAGGATACTGGAAGAGCCCTGAGCACCACAGATATGGTGGAAAAAAAAAAAACACAAAAGAAAACACTACAATTTATGTTTAAAGAAGGGCCAGGGCCAGAGAGATAATACAGTGGCTAGGGAGGGCACTTAATTTGCACATGGCCAATCAGGTTCAATCTCCACCATGCCTTGTGGTTCCTTGAGTCCCACCAGGGGCGATCACTAAGTGCAGAGCCAGGAGTAAACCTTGACCACTGCTAAGTATGGCTCAAAAAGTCAAAGTGCTTATAAGGAAAGAGAGTGTAGGGGTGAGCATGCAGCTCACCCCTGTTGGACTTCTGTGGTCAGGAGTCAGGTATAGCCCTGGAGGCTCCTAACACCACCAGGATGGTCCCAGTAATCCCCAGCACTGCAGGACTCAAGCAGTACTGCTTCCTTGGGCCCTAGCATTGAACTGCCAACCTGGTTGGCCTAGAATTCCCAGGAGGACACATTCACACACACACACACACACACACACACACACACACACACACTGCTTGGAAGATTCCCCAAATGCCACCAAAAAAAAAAGTGCCTACTGTCATAAACACTTTACATACACACACACACACACACACACACACACACACACTGCTTGGAAGATCCCCCCAAATGCCACACACAAAAAAAATGCTACTGTAATAAACACTTTCGTCAAAAGACACAAGTTATTCTTACCGGGAACCTTCTAGCTTATTTACATATAAAGCAGAAAGGACATCATGCTGTTAAGTATAAGATGTTCACTTTTCAGAATTTTAAAACAAGTATAAGAGAGAAGAATTTCTTTTTGTATTTTGGAAATTACATGTCCAGAACATGGAATGAAATAGTGAAAAAAAAAAGTGGGGGAGAGGTAGGACCCCCTCCACCTGTAAGCCAGTAAGCCTGTAAACCAAAAAGACCAGGCAGTGCCAATGATACTACAAAGGAACCAAACAGGTATATAAGAAGTATAGAGGGAGCTGAGCTTTGTGTTCTAAATACATCAGCTCCTACCACCATAACTGAAAGCCCCTAAGTATAAAGGCAGAAATAAAACACCCAAAGGTAAAAGCTCTAGAACAGGTCCGTGAATAATGGCATTTTGTTGATGTTTTTTGCTAAAACAAAGACAAGAACAGGGTCAGGGGAGCCTACAATATAACAAACATATTCAAGAACCTGCTTTCATTCTATGTCCTTTCACCTAAGGTCAGAGTTTCCAAGAAACTCTCACGGCTAAGTGAGGACCTACCATATATAACTTCCTTTAGAGAGATAGCATACCTGTAACCGCTGAAACACTCCTGATCGTAAATCTCCAAAACCATAGTGGCACTGGGAACTCAGAGCATCTTCTGATGCCTCTTCATAGGGTGACTGTTCAATTTCCCAGTCAAACTCTTCATCATCTTCTTCCACTCCTTCCTCAGAAACCTCAGAACCCCCTAAAAGTATTAAAAGTCACTTAAGTATTGGATTTCCTAGGTACAACTGGAGAAGAAAAAGTACAAGAAAATCTGTCTAACCCTGTGAATCAAAAACCAGGCCCTCCCGTTGATCATCGATTTGCTCGAGCGGGCCCAGTAACGTCTCCATTGGAGACTTTGTTGTTACTGTGTCTGGCATATCGAATACGTCACGGGGAGCTTGCCAGACTCTCAGTAGCTTGCCGGGCTCTCCGAGAGGGGCGGAGGAATCGAACTTGGGTCGGCCATAATCGAACTCGGGTCGGCCATGAAAGAATTTTCACAGCCCTGAATTTCTAGATAGACTGAAAAACAGAACCCATCCAAAGTTAAAGTAGGGCTAGAGTGATAGTACAGCAGATAAGGAGTTTGCCTTGCATGCGGCCGACCTAGGTTTGATTCCCAGCATCCCATATGGTCCCCCAAGTACCACCAGTAATAATTCCTGAGTGCAAAGCCAAAAGTAACCCCTGTACATCACCGGGTGTGACCCCCACCCAAAAAAAGGTCAAAGTAGATATACCTCATCTCTACATAGATAAACCTTAAAAAAAAAAAGTTCAAAAACAGTGCTTTGTAAGTACATCACTTGCATTACTGTATAAATACACGATCACAATCACGATCATCCTGTTGTTCGTCGATTGCCTTGAGCAGGCACCAGTAATGTCTCCTTCGTCCTAACCCTGAGATTTTAAAAAGTGCCACATTCAAGGCTCTTTCAGGGTTAGGAGAATGAGACCCATCACTGTTACTGGTATTTGGCATATTGGGTACGCCACGGGGAGTTTGCCAAACTCTGCCGTGTGGGCAGGTTACATTCAGTAGCCTGCCAGGTTGTCCACTCTCCACACGCAGGAAGGTACTGGCAGAAGAACAAAGGCATGCGAGTCCCGGGGCTGAGATCTCCAAACCTGCTCGGATCGGGGCTGAGCATCCTCCACCCAGATCCTCCATCTTCCAGTAGGCAGGGTCACACCCACCAACTGGCCGCCTGGCGCTGTGCAATCCCATCAACGGCCAAGACCCAGAGACTATAAAACCCAGCTCCCGGAAGAGAACAGCGCAGAGTCTCCTGCCCCTGTGCCTGACTGTCCTTACCGGGGCTCCTTGCAAGGGGGCGGGTTGAGTTTCCCTCCCCGCCCCGAGCAGAGCTCCGGCAGCCGAAGACCTCCAGAACCAGCCACAACCATGCTGAGACCACTGTATAAATACAAAATTTAAAAATAGGCAAAAAAGAGGAGTGGCTAGAGAAAGGAGAGGAAGCTGAGAGGAAGCAGAACGGGATTCTAGGGTGTTGGAAATGCTCTACTTCATGATCTAGGAGGTGCTCGATTTATGTAACTCATTTAATTGTCCACTTTTAAACTGGTCACCCAAGAGGCCAGTTCTTTTGCCAAACACTGGCCCAAAATAGTGGTAGCCAGAGAGATAGTACAGGAAGTAAGGCATTTGCCTTGTGTGCAACCACGGACCCTGATTTGAATTCCCAACACCACATATGGTACCCTGAGGAGCCCCCTGAAGTCACTCCTAGGCACAGAGCTAGAAACAGCTCCTGAGCACTACTGGTGTGGTGCTAAAGAAAGAGGGGCTGGAAAGGTAGTACAGAGGGTAAGGCTCTTGCACACAGTCGACCTGGGTTCATTATCTGGCATCTCATCTGGTCTCCCAAGCCTGCCAGGAGTGATCCCTGAGTGTAGAGCCAGGAGTAACCCCTGAGCACTGCATCCTCCTCCCCACACAAAAATTTAAAGAAATAAAACAATAAAGGGGCTAGAGAGATACTACAGCCAGTCTGATATGGAACCCCAAACACTCCCATGAGTTATCCCTGCACACGGAGTCAAGAGTAAGCCCTGAGCACACCTAAGCCTGGCCCCAAAACAAAACAAAAAACAATACAAAACAAAACGGAAAGAAAGCACTGTTTTGCTTTATTTTTAATAACATAAATATGAAGATATTGATATTATTACCTGTATAATTATAATGCTGTCAGGTCTCTTCAATAGAATTTTTAATGTCTTTATATCAAATAATCAGTAAATGAATTATTTTCAATGTTTTTATATAACCTTTACATCTTGACACTTAAAAGTACTGTCTCCAACTTTCTATTTGTTATATCATTTCTTCTCTCCTAGAGAGACACAGCTTTCCATATATACTGTTCATTTTTACTTCCTCCCAACTACGACAGACATACCTAGTTCTTCCACAAGTGGTCTTGCACTCCTGGATTTCCTGGGTGCCAGAAGAGCAGTTAACAGGTTCAGCCCCTCAAAATGCTGGCCAGGAGTTTCTTTGGGCAACCGAATGGTAAAAATTCCTTCAAGACAAATTTGTTTTATACTTAGAGTTTTATACATGCAAAGATTTCACAAGTACAACTAAGAAATAATAATGACATAGGAATGAAGTGGTAGCTCAACAGGCTAGAACACACGCATTACATGTAGGAGGCCTGAGTTCGCTCCCCAAAACCGCATGGGCCATGAGCACACCAGAAGTGACCCTAAAGGACGGGAGAAATAGATAGTACAACAGGTAGGGCATTTGCAGCCCAGATGGTCCCCTGAGCCCCACCAGAAATGATTCCTAAGCACAGAGCCAGAAGTGAGCCCTGAGCACTGTCAGGTGTAGCGCATAACTAAATAACTAAGTGAAATAACCATGAGCCAAGATCCAGGAGTAGCACCTGATCACAAGCATGGCCCCAAAACCAAAATAAATAAAATGGAGGTGGGAGTGAGAGCAGGAAGAAACAAAAAATAAATGACTTAATAACCTTCTGTTTCACTGAATTCTAAATTATGTACTTATTATAGATTTAGTGGGTAAAAATAGAAATAGGAAATGTCCCAGTTTTTTAGAACTACTGATTCAGCTGTCACCTCTAAAAGAAATTAATGTGTTAACGCTATAGAAGCCTTAACAGTATCACCTTAACCTACTGAAATTAAAAGTGCAAGTCAAAACTTCTAAAGCTCAATGTCTCAAGAAGGTAACAGATTAAAATTAACCAATTACTTATAAAGGGCTATTAATAAAATATATTTCTACATTTGTATTGAGGAGGGAAGAAAATCAAGATAGCCAATTCAATGGAGATTATCAGCAGACCAAAGCCACACAAAATCTTAATAGCTTCATACAGTTCTTGGCTATTTCAAGAGATAGAGTTCTAAATTTAGTCTTAAAGTCAGCAGATTTTGTTTGTCTTAATCTTCTTCCTTTGCCTGAGTTTACAAATTTTTTTCTTTTCCTTGTTTTGTTTGTTCATTGTTTTGGGACAAACCTGACAGCTCAGAGCTTACTTCTATCTCTGTGGTCAGGGATCATTCCTGGTGGGACTCTGGGAACCACCTGTGGTGCCAGAGAAGGAATCTGGGTCGTCTGTGTACAAGGCAAGTGCCCCTACCTGTTGTACTATCTCTCCAGCCCCTGGGTTCAGCAACCTCTAAGCTTCTCTAATCTTATTACATTATTTACTAAGCTTGCATTTTAAAGTATTTTTATCTCTTTCTGCATCCTAAAATACATTCTAATATATCAAATACAACTCAACACCAATATGCCTACATATACAAAGGTCCTAAATGCCTCAGCAACCTTAGATTTTTAACTTTGCTTCAATATGCAGCTTATCTACACTCCAAAGAAGAGTTACCACAGAAGAAGGCAGTTTCATTGTATTTCCTTATCACATTAATCACTTCACATTATGAGATTTGTTGTTTAACTCTCATCCCATATTTCCTCCCAACCCTTGTCCACTGAGTTCAGTTAATATTCAGCAAATAAATTACACAAGAATACAAAAGATCTCCTTATTCCAGATGCAGTGGGAAATCTAGGGCTGTCTACAAAGGGTAAAATAAACGATTTCATGGCTAGCTGAAATAAGGAGTATATTAACCACGAAAGAACAATCCATTTTTTAATGTTACCTATAGGTAGTTTTTCCCTAACCTACATGTTATTAAACTTAAAGTTAAAAATAGTACATGAGGTCCGGAGCCAAGTACAGTGGGTAAGGCATTTGCCTTGCATGCAGTCAATTTGGCAACCCAAATGGTCCCCTGAGCACCACCAACAATCCTGAATACAGAGCCAGAAGTAATCTTGAGCATCGCCAGGTGTGGATCCCAAACCAAAACATAATAAAATTGTACATGAAAGATTTGACTCACAGATCACAAAATCAACCACATCTTTTCTAATTAATCACACAATCCTTAAGCTTTGAAACACATACTAAATGTACAGAAAATAAAACTAGAAAATAGAAACAGAGTATCTAATAAACTTTTACTTTAAACATTTTTAGATCCTTTACAGCAGTGGTGTCCAATCTTTTTTATAATATCTGCAGACTGGCAGCTGTTAACCACTGCTTAAAGAACTTAAATTTAACATTTTAACAGTCCAGAAATCTTCATGTAATAGGCATTGGCCAACAAGACATGACAGTCTCAGAGACAGATTAGATTTGCAATACATTAAAGGTCACTACAATATCTTAAAAAATTATTATAGAGTAGTCTAACATGAAAAATCAAAGAAGAAAACAAAAATTCCAAAAATACCTTTGTCTGCATCATAGGTTCCTTGTTCATTTCCATTTTCTACAATTCTCCCAGGAAGAGTTAATCTGCAGATTTAATAGGTCTCGTGAAAACAGGTCTCAAATTATAAAGCAGCATATCATTGATACTGTACTGTAGCACTGTCCTCCCGTTGTTCATCGATTTGCTTGAGCGGGCACCAGTAACATCTCATTGTAAGGCTTGCTGTTACTGTTTTTGTTTTTTGTTTTGGCATATCGAATACGCCACAGGGATGCGGGTGGAATATTCTCAGTAACTTGCCGCACTCTCTGAGAGGGGCAGAGGAATCGAACCTGGGTCAGCTGCACGCAAGGCAAATGCCCTACCAGCTATGCTATCATTGATACTACATATCTGAAATGTATCAACCACTTAAAGGAAAATTCTCAGTACTTCTTTAGCATCTTTGTTGTTTTTGGACCACACTTGGCAGTGCTCAAAACTTACTCCTGGCTCTGTGCTTAAGGGTCACTCCTGGCGGACTGAGGGAACTATATTGGGTGCCAGGGACTGTACTTGGGTCAGACATATGCAAGGCAAGCACCCTACCCACTAACTCTAGCCCCTTCTTTAGCACTTTAAAACTAAGTAACTCAAGGGCCAGATAGTATAGGGAATGAGGTATTATTTTTGAAAGGGCCCAACCTGGGTTCATTCTGTGGAATTACATACGGTCCTGAGCCCTACCAGGAGTGATGCCTGAGTGAAGACAGGAGTAAGTCCTGAGCACTGCTGGGGTGGCTCAAAAAACAAAAACGAATAAAAATTAAGTAACTTAAGATTTCTTCCTTAGCTAAGAAAAAATGAAAGTAAAGGTATTTGAATAACTCCTAGTAACCAGTGGAAGACACCTGGAAAGTCACAATAAGTTTATCATGATGATTATAGTACTTACCCCTTCCTAATAAATAAAACTTACATATCTGATGCCCGACAAAACAGACTATATATATATATTTATACACACACATATGTGTGTATATATTAAATATGAATAGACTATATATATATGTATAAATTTGGGCCTGGAGAGATGGTACAGCAGGTAGGAAGCTTGCACGTGGATGACCCAGGGTTTGATGTCCAACACTCCATATGTTCCCATGGTCATCTGAGGCCCCAACAAGAAGTGACCCCTGAGCAGAGTCAGAAGGAAACCCTGAGCACTGCTGGGTATGGCCCAAAACTCACTCAAAAATTAACTGACTTCCAAAATAAATAAGTGAATGGGAAACAGTAAACAACAAAACCCAAAACCAATTTTTATAGGGCAAATTACTATCTAAAAATAAAAACAGAAACAGAAAACTTTGTTTCCAAATCCCATTAATGACAAATTCCCCCCACCCCACCCACCTTTCATACTGAAAAAATGAACAGGGTCTGGATGTAGTGCTGTTAGAAATTTGTCTTGCATATGGGAGTCCTGAGTTCAAACCCCAGAGAGAGGGAGGGACAGAGGAAAGTAAGGAAGGAGGAGAGGAAGGGAGGAAGGGAGGAAGGGAGGGAGGGAGGGAGGGAGGGAGATTCTCACTTCACTGTTTTCTATCGTTTATACTGGCTAGATCCCTTAAACTACAGTCAAGCCGGGTCAGAGCAATAGCAGTGAGTAGGGTGTCTGCCTTGCATGCAGCCGACTCGGGTTCAATCCCTGCATCCCATATGGTCCCCTGAGCACCGCCAAGAGTTAATTCCTGAATCCAGAGCCAGGAATAATGCCTTAGTTTTGCCAGGTGTGATCAAAAAGAAAATTTTAAAAAGAAAAAAAAAAGAAATAAAAGAAAGGTTAACACATTCTAGCTGATGAGAAAAGCCCTAGTAAGTAAAGACTTGGGGAACATTTGGGACCCTGAGCAGGATGGACAAGCAGTTCAGCTGGGCTCAGTATCGTCATCTCGTGCGAATCAATGTGAATTAATGTAATTGTGGGAGTAATAATGGATGATCAAACATTAAAAATAAAATACAGTCAAGCTTCAGTGCTGTCCTTCCATTGTCAACAACCAGAACAACACCTGTTAAGAATAAATAAATTCGGTCACAGTCCTCCCGTTGTTCATCCATTTGCTCGAGCGGGCCCAGTAACGTCTCCATTGGAGACTTGTCGTTACTGTGTTTGGCATATCGAGTACGTCACGGGGAGCTTGCCAGGCTCTGCCGAGCGGGCGAGATACTCTCAGTAGCTTGCCGGGCTCTCCGAGAGGGGAGGAAGAATCGAACTCGAGTAGGCAATGTTGGCTGCGTGCAAGGCAAACGCCTTACCGCTGTGCTATCGCTCCAGCCCCAAGAATAAATAAAAATATTTATTCTTAACAGGTACACATGGCTAATCACCAAGCATTGTAATAAGGACTATACAGGACTAACCTGAGTGATCTTTCCTCATACAATACTTCCCCTGGCTCCTATTGTAATAGCAACAACAATAATAATAAAATTTAGTTAGATCAAGGGCTGGAGTGATAGCACAGCAGATAGGGCGTTTGCCTTTCACGTGGTCGACCCAGCCGGCCTGAGTTCGGTTCTTCCGCCCCTCTCGGAGAGCCTGGCAAGCTACCGAGAATATCTCGCCCACATGGCAAAGCCTGGCAAGCTACCTGTGATGTATTAGATATGCCAAACACAGTAACAAAGTCTCACAATGGAGACGTTACTGGGCCCGCTCGAGTAAATCGATGAACAACGGGAGGACAGTGACAGGTAGACCAAAAGTCCTGGGCTTCACAATGTATTTACATGTGATCCCAGTGTTTCTCCAATCATTCTTCAAAGCAAGATTCCTCTAGGCTTAGCATACGGAGTCACTTGATGGAAAACTCGATTTAATCTAGAGGTAACAAACACTAAGTTTATGGTGGGTGGGAATCCGAAATGAGCTTCAGTCTGCTATGACCAAGTGTGTTTCATCTTTAGTGCAGCAAACTGCATTTTCTGACACAGCTCACCTGCCCCCACGGTGCAAGGGAGGGGGGCAGGTCCTTTCCCTTTCAGTGAGTAGGAGCCAGCCTGGGCATCCAATAAAGCAGTAAAGCAGAGAGGGCAGCTACAATGAAGCAGAGAGGGCCAGGGAGAGAGCTCCGAAGGGCTGGAGCCTTGAATCCTAGCCCTACACCCCTACACCCCTGCACCCCCTGGTGTAGCCTGATGCTCCTGAGCACCGCCAGAGCAGGGTGCCCTGAGTGGGTCCCACAGTGACAAACGTATCTCTGGGGGTCTCGCTGGAGTATTGCTGGCTTCCCTAAAGTCGCCTGGAGGCCCCACCAATTTTTTTAATGTATTTTTTAAAAAGCTGAGTTGGGGGGGGGGGGGGGCTGGAGCGATAGCATAGCGGGTAGGGCGTTTGCCTTGCACTTGGCCCACCCGGGTTCGATTCCCAGCATCCCATAGGGTCCCCCCAGCAGCGCCAGGAGCAATTTCTGAGTGCAGAGCCAGGAGTAACCCCCGTGCACCGCCGGGTGTGACCCAAAAAGAAAACAAAAAAAAACAAAAACGCTGAGTGAGGTCTTCCGTTAGGTGAGTAACTGCTCAGGGAGGGGTAGGAAGAGATCTCGTCACTGGCCCCTGCAACTCCGCCTAACACTCAGGCGGCGGGGTCGTAGGGAGTCCGGGGGGCGCAGGGGCACCGGGCGGGCTACGGAGAGAGCGTGCCAGCAGGTGGGCAGCGGCCGGCCGGGAGGCGGCTGGGAGGACGCGGAGAGGTGGGGGGGGGGGGTGGCCAGTCCAGGGCCGGCCGCCCAGCGGAGACGCACAGACGGGACGAGAGCAAGGCGGCGGCGGGCCGGGCTGTGCACGCCGCCGTGCCGCGCCGGGTTCGAGTCCCCGCGCCCCCTGCGCTCCCCCGAGCACGCAGCCAGCAGGAACCCCTGAGCATCAGGATGCGGCTCAAAAAAAAAAAAAACCCAGAAACCAGAGGGACTCCGGGCGGGGAGGGGGGGGCGCCGGCCGCCTCCGCGGGGCCCCCCTTGCCGGCTCTGGCGCCTCCCGCGCGGCGGCAGCAGCCCCCGGCGTCGCTCCGGGCAGCGAGCCCCAACTCGCCTGAGGAAGTAGGGCCGCGCGTAGAACCTGAAGTCGACCCCCTCGAAGTACACGTCGAACTCCGAGACGCGGGCATAGGGCACGCGGATGGCGACCGTCAGGAAGTCAGGGTCCTGGCTCAGGTCGAAGGCGGGCGTCAGCATCGCCGCCCGAGTTCGGCACCCGTGGCCGCCGCGCGCGCGCTCCCGCCCCGCGCCCGAGCCTCCCGGCGCTTCCGGCTCAAGGCGGAAGCGCGCTGCCTGGCACCGAAAGTCCCGCCCCCACGCCCGCCTCCATGGCGACGGACGCTCTCGGCGCCCGGGTCGGGAGGCCGCGTGGCGAGTGCGGCTGCGGGCTCTGAAGTTGACGGAGCCGATAACGTGGTAGAACCAGGACAGAGATCCAGCAGATAGCCGCCAAACTTGTTTCAAGGGTCTTGGGAATGATTTTTTAAAGTATTAGATAGGCAGGACCACTTTCCAACTCTTAAGAACCTGGGAAAGCTGCAGATTTCTCTACGTGAAAAAGTGGCAGATGTCTCAAACTTCTCTGCTTTAGATTAGATTTCTCTAGTATAATTGCGTTGGGACGGACGAGTAAGGAGAGGCTGCCAAAATCTCGGGACTGGGATGAATGGAGACCGTTACTGGCGCCTGCTGGAGCAACAGAAGGACAGTGATACAGTGAATCGCAGGGAATAATGGAAGATAGGCTCATAGAGATGCCTTGAGGATAACCTGGGATTCTGCGTGCAGAGGTCTCAGGGCGTGCCTGGGTCTAGGCTCTGCGTGCGGCTGTCGTCGATTCAGCAGCCGGCAGCGTTTCTGGGGTTTTCAGTTCTCACCCGCTTTATCAACATTTCTCCCTTCTCCTGCTGCTTGCTCTTTCCCAGAGAATTTCTCTCCTTCCTCCTCCTCCCTGTTACTTATCATTTCTCCCGCCACTTCCTAACTTCTTGTTCAAATCTTTCTTCTTTACTGATATTTAATCCGCATTACCAATTCTGGGGAACACATCTTAAATAGGCTAACCAATCTCTCTCTCTCTCTCTCTCTCTCTCTCTCTCTCTCTTCCCCCCCCCTTATTTTTTTTTATTCGAAGCACTGAAATTTACAATACTATTAATACTGTTGATAGTTGTGATGTAGGCAGGCAGATAGGGACGGCCCCTTCCCAAGGCAATGGCAGTAAATCTGGGAAGCAATGGCCCTGACCTCATGGAAAACTAACTGGCACCAGTCTGTAACAGACCATGCGGAGGCTGGCCACCTACAAGGATGACAGAAGAAGAAATAGAGACCAACTAAGGATCAGAGAGAGATTAATCAGAAACTCCAAAGCTGTTCCTTTGACACCTGACCAACCCCCTACAACAGAAGCTCTTGCAGAAACAAAAGTCAGGAAAGGAATTTCAAAGAAGACCATCACCACTCCCAACCCCCTTGGTAACCTCCCTAGCAACGGACTTTAACCTAGGTAGAAGCCCCACCTGGGGGAAGGTTGGAAGAAACCCTATAAAGGCCGCCTTGAACAAAGGAAGCACCTGCATATGCTGCCTGAGCACCTGTGTCACCCGCATCTCCCATCTTGAGATGTGTACTTTCATGTTTTCATGTCTAATGCTGGGATGTGTGTATGGGCTCTCTCCGCCCTTGGAGAAGCCCGGACACCCTTTTGAGTAGGTTACTCTCTACTCTCAGTTTCTCTCCCTCTTTCCCTTCAAAACCTCCAAATAAAAACTGTAATTTCACTGCTCATCTACTCCTGAAATTCCTTTCTGCGAGGCGAGACAAGAACCCAGTAACCCAGGGTCACAAGTGGCAGAGGTGGATGGGGAGAAAGTGACGTCTTTCTCCTCCCTGCTTCACATAAGTCACCCGTGGGGCCCACCAACCTCAGTAGGATTTCATGCCTGCAGCGTTCAGAGCAGCTCAGTTCTGTCGACCAGTTCACAGGTTCTGTGTCTTAATGTTTGTTTATATCCCACATATGAAAGAGATCATTCTGTATTTTTCACTCTCCTTCTGACTGACTTCACTCAGTATGATACCCTCCAGTTCCATCCACTTAGAAGCAAAATGCACAATTTCATCTTTTCTTATTCCTGTGTGTGTGTGTGTGTGTGTGTGTGTGTGTGTGTGTGTGTATCACAACTTCTTGGTCCGTTTATTCATAGTTGGGCATTTGGGTTATTTCCAGATCTGGGCTATTGTGGATAGTGCTGCAATGAGCATAGGAGTGCAAAAGTCTGTTTGTCTGTCTGGAATAGTGTTTTGTACCCTTGGGGTAGATGCCAAGAAATGGAATTGCTGAGTCATATGGAAGCTCAATCTTTTTCTAAGTGTGTCCATACTGTTTTCCATGAAGGTTGAACCAGTCAACATTCCCACCAGCGGTGAATGTGGGTTCATTTTCTCCCACATCCACACCAACACTGGTTGCTTCTGTTCTTTTTTGATGTGTGTTATCTCACTGGTGTAAGGTGATATCCTCCTTGTTTTGATTTGCATTCCCCTGATAATAAATGATGGAGAGCACTTAAAAATTTTTATTAGAACACCATTATTTACATAGCGGTTCATAATAGAGTTTCAGGCATTCAGTGTTCAACATCAATCCCACTATCAGTGCCAACTTCCCTCCACTAATGTCCCTAGGTTCTCTCCTACCCTCCTCCAACTCCACCTGCCTCTTTGACAGGCATATTTAAAGTTTGGTTATTGTAGTTTGGGTCTCCTGCTTCCAGTGTTGTTGGATCTGATGTTTAGATATGTAAACATACCTCCACACCACTGATGTGCCCCAAAGCCCCTGGCTCCTGCCCTGGTCCTTCCTGTCCAACTCTTCTTACCCCCTCGACTTCTTCCCTTCTCTGTACTCATTTCTGTAATCTAGAGCCCAGGGCAATCTAAGTATAACCCTTTTGATACTTTGCAATCCCTTGACCTATAATTCTATATACCACAAATAAGTGAGATCATTTGATGTTTGTCCTTCTGACTTCACTTGATGTGATATCCTCCAATTCCATCCAAGTTTCCAAGTTGCAGAAAACTGCATATTTTAAACTGTCCTTGCATTCCCGGGATGAATCCTATTTGGTCATGATGTATAATATTTTTTTCTGTTTGGTTGTATTTGGTTAACCAATATTTTGTTAAGGATCTTTGCTTCTATGTTTGTCAGGGATATTAGTCAGTAATGTTTCCTTTTAGTGATGTCTCTGTCTATTTTTTGTATCAGGATAATGTTCACCTCAAAGAACTGCTTTGGAGGATTCTTGTTTTCTTTCAGTTATTAGGGTTTTCTCTCTTTGTGAGTCTAGCTAATGATTGTAAATCTTGTTTACTGTTTTTTAAAAGAATAAATATTTATTCATTTTTAAATAGAGCTTTTTTTTTTTTTGCTTTTTGGGTCACACCCAGCGATGCACAGGGGTTACTCCCAGTTCATGTGCTCAGGTATTACTCCTGGCATTGCTCAGGGGACCATATGGGAGGCTGGGAATTGAACCCGGGTTGGCCACGTGCAAGGCAAACACTTTACCCACTGTGCTATCACTCCAGCCCCCTAAATAGAATTTTTTAAAGTCTTGCTTTTGTTGATCTTTTAAAATGTTTCCTGTTTCTTTTTTGTATTTACTTTTATTTTCCCTCTATGGTTTGGGCTTCTTTTATTTCTTATTATTTCTACTAGGTTTTCTCTGCTCCAACATATTCTCTTCCTTCCCTCTTATACTATTTCCTGCTATTCCACCAGTAACTGTAATAGTCCAACAAATAGCTTTCAATTTCCTGATTTTAAAGAAGGGGTAACAGTTACTTCCTGGGGCTATACCAGATACCTCAAAAGCCGTTTCAACTTCCAGTTTGTGAGTCCTGACAAATACTTAGGACAAAAAATAATAACAAGGAAAAAAATTCGAATTGAAAATAAACACCACTGTGGTTTAATATGAAACCAAAAGGTGTGTGTGTGTGGTGGGCCGGGGGGAGGTGTTGGGCCACACCCTGGCAGTGCTGGAGTGGAGATTACTCCTGTGGAGGTGACTCTGCTCGAGTGTACTCCCAGCAATGCTGTCATATGCAGGCAAGAATCTTAACCCCTGTGCTATTTCACCAAGAAAACTCTGGAGCTTTTGATACAGACAAATAAGAATCTATGTGTGGAACAACTTGTATATCGCCCAACACACTCATTCCTTGGGTAGCAGAGGGATTAGTTGCATAAACTAAATACTTACTGTGTATTAACTGAATGTTTATATTATCTGTGCCAGCATGGCACCAAATCTTTAATAACAAATTATCCCATTTCCACCTTCTGACAACTCTGTGAAGTAGGCATTATGTATCCCCATAGCTAGCACAGGATCAGACAGACCCCGAGTGAGTCTGATTCCTGGAACTATGCTTTAATATATCACATAGTTTATTCAGTCTTATAATTCCACCTAGCCTATTTGTTTTGTGATCCCAAGTCTATCCTGCTACTGACCATACAGAACTTTAGAGGGTCTCATTCCTTTAGGTCACAAGCACTAATATTTTTAGATTATGAATTTATTAACTTACAGGGAATTAAGTGAAACTAAAACAATGTTATCTATAAGGAAACTCCAATTGAATTCACAGTTTATAATGACAGTTCTGCACTTTCAGGATAATTTTTTGGGTGTTTGATAAAGCACCTAAACCAGATTGCAACAGAAAAAAACTATCTAGTTCATTGCTACTGTTACTTATAAAAATATATAGAGATAGTATAGGGAGTAGGGCACTTGCTTACACATGGCTGACTGGGGTTTGATTCCTGACATCCCATATGGTCCCAGAGCACTGCCTCAAGTAATTCTTGAATGTATAGCCAGGAGTAAGCCCTAAGCATCACTGGGTGTTACCCAAAAAAACAAAAAGTAAAAAGAAATATACATTGTATCTGCTATACTCCAAAATACTGATAGCCACCACAACTGTGTAACAGGATTGGTGGGTGGGGTGGAAGGTGTTGAAATTATAGCTCATTATTTGAGTTCTCCCTTCTTTTGAAAAATAAGATTATAACAGGAGATAATATTGGATTAAGATGCTTGCCTTGCCTTAATCCTTGGCACCATCTGGTCCCCTGAGCATCCTAGGATGCTGCTCTGGAGGCCCTACAAGCACT